AATGCACATACATTTTTGCGAATCTTTGAGGAAACCTTTTCCTGGCATACTTGCAGAACGATGGAGGTGGCTTTGCGACTTATGAACTTACAAGATCCTATAGTTGGATGGAGGTAATATGATTAAATGTGTATCTTACTATGAAGAGGATATCCAAGCAGCCAATAGTATCACTTCTATGTGCACAGACTTGATTGTCTTCCATGCCTTTTCACGTCTGTGGATTCTACTATAAGCTTTTAATCTGATGCTTATGAAGATCATTTCCCTTTGTGCAGCTAATCAACCCGGCTGAAACTTTTGGCGATATTGTCATTGATTATCCGTAAGATATCTGCTCGACTGCTGCTTTGTATTAATTTTTTACTTCTACAATGGGATTTACATTTTAGCCAGTTTTTTTATTTTTTTATTATTATTTTTTTTTCTTAGCAAAAGCATTTAGAACTGTTATTGACATTATACTAGAGCTGGTCCTCAGGAGGATGTGTAAGTGGACTTGGGTTATGGGTGTATGCATATTTGTCCAACCTCAAAAACTGGGATACATGGACACGACTTCATCTTAATATTTCTTAATCTTTGTCTTTATTATATCTGACAGTGATCTTCAAGTTAAATAAAACTGGTTCAAATGGGCATGCCATGCTATTTAAAAAAGTTCTAGAATAAATCAACATTTTTATATGTTTTTCTAGTTAGATGATGCAAAAATATCGTACGTTCCACACATTGCTGATACTTCAATGCATTGAGAATAAGTAACTTAGTGGGAGGTCTCTGACTTGAACCATGAGAGCTTTGTAGACATCAAAAGCAGTCCCTGACAAGGATGGAATTATGTCATATGTACCGCCAATTCCTTTGTAGAGTCGAATCATATAATGTTTGGTCATAGATGCTGCATTCATCGGATTTTTCGATTATAATACAAAGTACAATGGCTATGTAGCTATGTTGAATGTACCTCGGCTTCTATTCAAGCATTGGCAGCATTTAAGAACTTATACCCCTGGCACCGAAGAGAAGAAGTGGAATGTTGTATTGAAAAAGCTGCTAAATTCATCGAAAAGATACAAGCGAAGGATGGTTCTTGGTAAGTTTTATTGCTCTCTTTCTCACCCCTTCTCGTATTTGGAGGGATGTGAAACTTTCTAATATATAATTTTCTGTACCAATATATCTTTTCCGTTTCCCCAGCCTTGTTTGCTCAATAGTTATAATTATTCATGTGGTTCCAAACATTATCTTTCGTTCATAATTAATATGCACTTAAATGTTAAAAATTTCTTCACAGGTATGGCTCTTGGGGTGTTTGCTTTACTTATGGGACATGGTTTGGGATATTAGGTCTGCTTGCTGCTGGACGAAACTTCAACAATTGCTCTAGCATCAGTAAAGCTTGTGATTTTCTATTGTCTAAACAGCTACCTTCTGGTGGTTGGGGAGAGAGCTATCTTTCATGTCAGAACAAGGTTGATGATGTTATCTATAATAATATTTTTTTTTTTTTTTTTTTTTTTTGGTTTGTTTTGTTTTGGTTTTCTTTTTTTTTTTTTTTTTGGGGGGGGGGGTGATGGGTGTAAGGATGGACTGATTTGCTTAGTTTTTTCTGCTTACCAAAGTCAAAGAGCAATATAAGAAAAAACAATGTCGACAGTTGCATTTACAGTGATTCTCAGGATGTCGAATATAATTCAATTATGAAGGGTCTTGTAACTTGTAAAAAAGTTGACAAAAGAAGTGTTAGGACTCGTAGAAGTCTGTTTTTTAATATATTTTTTTGCCTGCACATCTTCTCCGTGATGACATTTTGTTTCTTGCACTTCATCTTTTTGGTATTTGTTTAATTGCTACAATTTTCGTGATGAACCATATGACGTGGTATGTGGAATTAGTTTTATTATCCTGGATCAGCATGATTCTATGTCAAATTATTAGTGGGATCGGCATTTCACTGCCTTTGCATTGTCCTTCTCGTATGTCAAGATTGTCTTAAATATCGCGCACACATTAATTTCCTCAATTCATCTTTACCCCTCTGCAGGCAGAGAGAGATCCTGCACCATTACACCGAGCAGCAAAACTCCTAATAAATTCTCAGTGTGAAAATGGTGATTTTCCACAAGAGGTATTTTCTGTGGACTTGCCGCCTAAGTTATTACTGAGCTGAAAATAAGAACTTATCACACGCAATGAGTTATGCAGTCGAAAGTTACTTTTCAAAATGCTCGTCGCATAATAGGTTATAAGAGGGTTTTGGTGTTAGCATCAGTTGATTGTTCCCATAGTGTCGAGCTTTTTTGGATATGATAAATGTCTTACTATGATGATGTATCTTTCTTAAATAATAGTTCAACTATTGACTTTTTCTCATAACTTTTTCCGTTTCTTTTGACTTCTTGTTTCCAGGAAATTATGGGAGTCTTCAATAAGAATTGCATGATCACTTATGCCGCTTACAGGAATGTATTTCCAATTTGGGCTTTAGGAGAATATCGTAATCGGGTTCTCAAAACTCCATGAATAAGAATTGCTGATGAACCGTGAAGTCAGTTTTCAATTTCTTAATTATCCTTTCCAGTTTCAGAATCAATCACTTTTTCCTTTCAGTTGTAAGATTGACAGTGTCAAGATTTTGATTTTTCACTACTTTTTTAACATGTTTTCATTGCTCATGTTACTTTTGTTCTAATATATATATATATATATGCCCTTTTTGATTTTATAATGATAATGTCAATTTCTGAGTGAGTTTGCATCAACTTGCTTATGACAGCGTTGTAATTGATCCTAATGTTGAAACCATTGTTTTAAAACCACATGGGCCCCGAAGGGTCGACTCGGTTTGTCCAACTTCAATTTTTCCAAGACTAAAGTATAAATTTCCAGTGGCCACCATATTAATGCTCCTATATATTCTATTAAATTGCCTATCATATGTGGTTGGGACGTGACAAATGGAGCCGATCTGAGAGAGAGAGAGAGACTTGTAAGTTGAAGCATTTCATGGTTCCCATCCCCGAATTTCTTAACAAATTTTTGTATGAAGAAATAGATTCTTTAAAAAGAGTTGCTAAAAATGATACAAACCCCCTCCCCCTCCACCCCGACCCTTTCAATGTTATTGAGTAAAATGTCATTACTTTTTATATTTTGACATTTTCATTCTTATATTCATCTTTTATTGCGAAAAATGTCATTTTCATTCAATTTCTTAATTAAAAAAAATGTAAAATGACAAATATGTCCATCTATTTAAATAAAACAAAAGAAAGAAAAGAAAAATTAAAGAACCAAATTGTAATTATACTTCCTAACTTTTTTAAAAATTAAAAATGAGTCCAAATAAATTATTAAAGGAATAATTGGCACAAAAACATTTCTACTTCTCAATATTATCGTGCAAAATGGCCTTCATTTCATTTTATGGCATTTTCACATTTCATTGTGAAAATCATCATTTTCATCCATTTTTTCAATTAAAGGCTGTAAAGTGATGAATATAACCTCCTATTTAAATAAAATAAAAAATAAAAATAAAGAACAAATTGCATCTATACTCCCAAATTTTTCAAAACATTATACATAACTCTTAAATAAATAATTTAAAACAATTTTTTTTTTAAAAAGTACTTTCTTTTTTTAATTATTTATTTGGAATATACATACATACATACATATATATGAAAATTTTGGAGTATAATTACAATTTTTTTCTTTATTTTATTTTATTAAAATAGAAGGATATATTGGTCATTTTACAATTTTTAAATGAAAAAAATGGATGAAAATGATTATTTTTGTAATCTAATGTGAAAAAAAGGATGACATGTCAAAAAATGAAAGGTAAAGACATTTTGTGCTAATTATCCTTTTTTATAATTTATTTGGACACATTTGCCTTTTTATAAAAGTTTGGGAATATAATTGCAATTTGTTCTTTAAATTTTTTTTCCTTTCTTCTTTTATTTAAATTGGATGGTATATTTGTCATTTTACATTTTTTAATTGAGAAATTAGATGAAAATAACATTTTTCGCAATGAAATGGAAAAATATCTTTTGGAAAATTATTCAAATACATTAAAAAATATTTTCTTAATCTCAGACACAATTTTGGACTCTTTAAAAACTCTAAACATTCAAATTGGACATAATCTTTCACTTTTCCGAAACTATATAATCTATGTAAACAAATGGATTAGGTTGTCAAAAATAATCATTTTCTTTACAGTTTTATCTTATTCTAATAAGAAAGAGTTTTTACTTTGGTTTGATAGAACGTGGATCTTCAAAACTCGATTTCGTAAATTTAAATTTGACGGAGCATGATTTTTTCTTCATAGATCAAAAGGCCCATTTGATTCCCATTTTTTTTTTGAAATACTTTTTCTCTCACTTCTTTTCAATTACACATTCTTCATGAAAATAATATTACACGTAAATAAAAAAATTTTCATCCACACATTCTCCTTCACTCTACCATTCTAAAATTCATTTTTTTCTTAAAAATAGGGGTCAAACGCCTTTCAAATTAAATAGGGCCGCATTTGGGAGTGATTTTTCACTAAAAAAAATTGATTTTTTGATTGTTATTTCATCATTTCAGTCGTAATTTTTGATTTTTTTCTCACAAGTGGCCTCCACTGTTTTCACAATGGTCAAAAAATCAATTTTTAAAATCACCGAACATGCCCTAGATTTATTCACTTGTACAATGATCAGAATTTTACCTCATGTGAATTAAAGAAAGGCGGAGGAGGTCAATCTAACGGGGCCTGATCACTTTCACCAAGAACTAGGTCGTTAATTACCTGATTTTACTATTAACCTTTTTCTTTTTCCAACATTGAAAATGTTTTGAAAATGAGATTCTCAAATATTTTTGTGATTTGCATCATAACACCAAATTTTATGCAAAGGGCTGAAGAAAGGCCCACACATGGCCACGTACCAAACGCTCCCCCTAAATTTCGAAATCCGGTCCAAACCGCCAAAACTCTCTCTCTCTCTCCTCGAACTCTGCTTCTTGACTTCTTTTCTGCACATTGAGATTCGTCTTTATATTCTATTATTATCTTCAAATTTGAACATTCAAATTAGTACCAAATGCCAATTAATTTTTGAATAAAATGGAATTTTCACTCTCTCTTTCGCCAGTTCCGAAGCAATTATTTTACTACCAATGTCTGTTTTTCGCTCCTATATTTCTTAGCCCATAGAACTCTCCCAAGAAGACCCAAAGTGCTTTGTCCTACTCTTACAAGTAACTCTCTGCTCTAGCTATATTTCTTTGGATTTTTTGGGCACTTTTTATTTTGTAAAAAGTGATTATTTTCTATTTCAGAGAATATGCCGTGCTGTTTTTGTTTGTGGAGACTACGTGTTTATTGTTTATATATTTTGCTTAAAATTTCATTCTAAGTTTTAGTGAAGGTTATTGGTTGCTTGCAAATTCTGGGCACTTCGTTATTTTTTGATTTTATTTTGTTGAGTCTTTAGAGGATTGGAGTAAAGTTGAATACTTCTTAGTATGTTTTTTTCCCCTTCCAAGTGTGTATTACTTATTTCTTTTTCATCAACCAAATGGGGCAACTTCTTTTTCTAGAGACTGAAGGATTCTCTATGCTATGTTATACCTTAATTTAAGTTGTCTACTGTAGTTTACTATTTATTATTTTCAATTTTTATAGTTTCAGTTGCTTTTATTTAGCATAAAATGGATATTTATGTTTTAGCAAGTAAACATCTGATAGAGTCTTGACATGCTGTGTTTGAATGTTGAAGGGCAGAGCCATGGCCCATGGGTTGGAAGTTTTAAAGATTAATGCCATAGTTAAAATCTCATAAAATTATGGTTTAGTGTAAAGGTGAATAAAATAAAGGCACATATAAATATGGTGAAAGGGAAAGGAAATATACGGGTGAATAATCAGCAGGTGGTCTTCGAGCTGAAAAATCGTGTGATTCTTGCACTTAACAAGCTTGCAGACAGGGACACTTACCAAATTGGGGTTGAGGAGCTTGAGGAAACCATAGAATGCTTGACCCCTGATGGGGTTGCCCCATTTCTGTCTTGCATATTAGACACTGATTCCAAGCAGAAAAGCATGGTTCGTAAAGAATGTGTTCGCCTGCTGGGCATATTTGCTAATTTTCATGAGGGTCTTATTGAAACCTATCTTGGGAGGATGGTAGCTAGCATTGTTAAGCGACTAAAGGACTCAGATTCTGTTGTGAGAGATGCATGCATAGAAACATTGGGAATCTTGGCTTCCAAGTTGAACAGCAGTGTTGGTGAAAATGATGGGGTTTTTGTTGTGCTGGCGAGGCCTCTTTTCGAATCATTGGGTGAGCAGAACAAGCAGGTGCAGTTTGGTTCAGCATTGTGTTTGTCACGGGTCATTGACAGCATCCACAATCCTCCTGCTTCAATTTTGCAGAAGATGTTGGCAAGGACTGTTAAGTTGCTTAAGAATCCTCATTTCATGGCAAAACCAGCAATCATTGAGTTGAATAGAAGTATCATTCAGGTCTGTTTCTCCCAAATGCTCATAAATTTGCTGTTCAATTGGTTTCTCCATTCTGGCATCTTTTGATGATATGTGAAGACGTCTTGTGAATAATACATTGCATCCATTAAAAGAAACGTATTCTGGTGTAGTGGCATTTGCTTAATAAGTACCAAACAGTTGTTCTAATTTAAGAATAGATGCATTGTCATGTAAGGCCTTCCAATTGTTCCTTGAGTTTTAAAAATTATTATGCCTGAGCATTTCTATTCAACACTTGGAAATTAATAATCCCATACTGGAAATAGAAGGATGGTGTAACTAATGCGTCAAAAATTTAACTTGGTCATTTAATGTATTTATGTGTGAATTTCGTCTTCTAACTCTGTCTAGCTATGCATTATTTGGATAATGCATCTTGCTATATAATGTTAGTATGCGTTTCTAACATATTACAGAGTGCCCTTACTATAAAATCAATATGAATTTAGTTTCTTCTCAAATTGTTTCAGGCTGGTGGTGCTGCAACACATAGCGCTTTATCTGCTGCAATAACTAGCATCCAGGAAGCACTCAAGAACAGTGACTGGGCAACACGCAAAGCTGCCTCTTTAGCATTAAGGGATATTGCTTCTTGTGGTGGAGCGTGCCTGGGTTCTTTTAGGTCTTCATGCATCCGTTGTTTAGAATCATGTCGTTTCGACAAGGTTAGCTGTGTCATTCAGTAATTCACTGCTCCATGAGCTACAATTTGTTGATGCTTAAGTTGGATTTTCATATTCATTTTTCTCTGAGTAGGTGAAACCGGTTAGAGACACAGCTCTGCAGGCCTTGCATCTTTGGAAAAATCTTTTAGGGTCTGCTACTCCCGAACCTTCAGAAGCTGGATCTTCTGTCAAAGGTTAGGTTTAAAGTCCCATGTTCTTTTATGTTCTAGCAACAACCAGATACAGAGTTGCTGCTGTATCTATTGCTTTTGTTACCTGATCTAATGTTAGCTTTACATTTTCTATTGGGAAAATTTTGAATGACTCCCTTCCTTTTACGTTGTTGACACTGACTTGAAATGACTAGCACACTTATCATTCTCTATGGATTTAGTGAAGTTTTCTGAGGCGAACTTCTGCAAGAACCTAATTCCTTTTAACATATACAGTTGATTATAATTAATTCATAAACCCTGGTATTTCTACAAAGAGGATTATTAGCGATGAACTTACACATTTTAATGAGGTTTTTGTATGTTTTAATGCTAAATTTTTTTGTTGATTGATGTTTACAATAAATAATTTTTTCTAATTTAAGATTTTTAATGGAAAATGATTTTTAGATTTAATTGTTGATCGACCTAGACAGTGGACCTAACACTGAAGAGGGTTTTCAACTGGTTGTTGATGACATAATACAGGCTGTCCTTGTATCATGTAGTTTTCCTTGATAAGCCAGTTTTTGTGTTTAGGACTTGAAAGTTTTTTATGATTATACCAAGCACTAATGTATCTTACTCCTGAGCAATAATGTTGAGCATCACTGATAGCGAGTACCAATGACTAGAAATTTAATATAGGCCTGTGAGTATTGAGAAATTAGGAGATTATAGTTAACTCCACGGACCTAGAAGCAAAAGGCAGAAAAGGTAAAAAGACAAAACAATATTGTCCTAGATTTCATTAAGATAAATCATTCAGTGAATTTTACGCAATTGCTCAATTTCTGTTGTTTGATGCAACCATGTGCCTATTGTCTGTTTCATCATCTTTGGTGTTACAGGCTTTGGTATATTTGTATGTAACACTCGTTCACATCATGCAGAAACTGCATATAGAGATGACTATGGTGATGTTACTAGTACTGGTGAGACGATGCTGAAGGATGTCACACTGAAGAAATTTAGTGGTGACTTGTCCAAAAGAAGGGTTCTATCTTTGAGAAATCCTCTCAGAAATCATGTTGAGAAACCTCAGAATTCTGAAACAAATGATTGGCAAATACAAATTGCAGTTCCAAAAAGTCGTACAATTTCTGTGACAGACATTCAGAACGAAGAATCTGAGGGTAGCTCGGTTACCAAGAGATGTGAAATCACCAATGCTGACACGAGGAGTAACAAAGATAATGGTTATGTAGATGACAAACAGGAATCATCTTCTGTTTCTGATCTTTTCTCCGAAAGCATCAAGTCAAAGATTGTCACAGCTCATTGTGATGTTCTTGACGATGTCAGTTTGGTGAAATCAACCGGAACTAGTAAGCGATTTGCTGCTGAAGAAGTTAGTATAGAAGAGCAAAGATATGTTGCTAACATGCGTGATCGCAGGAGCTTGGATTCCACTGTTACTGAATCAAGTTCTCACATAATGCATGGCTGTTGTTCACAAACAGAAAAAGAATTGGTGTTAATTCGGAAGCAGCTTTTAGAGATTGAAACTAAGCAGTCAAATTTGATGGATTTGTTAAAGGTAAGGTTGATTCTTCATTGTAGCTGACTTAGTAGATACCTCTACTACTACTGCAAACTGGACTTGTGATCTTTAACAACTGGCACTCCGCCTTGTTTTTCTAACCTTTTTACGAGGAGCTCTAAGTTTTCAACTGCAGAGAAAACTCCTTTTTACAAACCAGTATTTGTGTAAGATTCTTGCTACAAGAAAGTAAGCATTTGGCACATGGTATGCCTAAAATTCGAGGCAAGAGACTCAGATCTTGAGATCTGTTTACTAATATTAAATTGATTACGCCTGTTAGTTAAACCATTACTTGGCCTTCAAAGCATAAAAGAAGACAAGTTGTAGTCCTGTATTTTTGTATTCCCCATTTTTTCTATCTAACGATCAATTTAAAAAAAAAAAAAAAGGTTTACACAATTTTTTATTCATGTATTTTGATTTTCTATTATGCTAATATTAACAGTTTCTGTATTTCTATTTTAGGTGTTCTCAAACAGCATAATGGATAGCATGTCAGCAGTACAGTTGAAGGTGTCCAATCTTGAACAAGTGGTAGATAAAATGGCACATGAACTTGTTCATGGTGGAAGATATTCAGATGCATTGGCAACAAAATTTTTGAAAGGAAGCCCTAGCGTTGCCTCTCCTAGACTTTCTACATGCACTCCAAGGTCATCTGTGGATATACACAATAGACAGCCTGCATTACTTCAAACCAAAAATACAGAAGTTTGGGAGGACAAAACATGTACTAGGACCAGACCAAGCAACTTAAGCAAGCAAGGCATAGACATGTGGACTGATACCACTCCTAAGCTAAGCAGAAATTCTGTTGGGAAGGGCACACGGACAAGCTCTGGTCCAAAAATTCATGGTGACCAACCAAGAAGTGACAATGTCTTTGCTCCAATGCCAACTACTACCAGGCTAAATAAACCAGAAACCAACAATTACTCATGGAATATTGTGAAAAGTTATTTGTCTGGTGGGGATCTAGACTCGGCATATATGGAAGCTATACGTTCTTGTAATGAACTTGTTTTGTTTGAGCTTCTGGATAGAATGGGCCCTGTTCTTGAAAATCTATCAGAAAAGATTGCAAGTGACCTTTTAAGCATTTTGGCATCATACTTCTTGGAGCAAAGATTTGTGAATTCTATAATACCTTGGTTGCAGCAGGCAAGTTATTTTTGTTCATTCACATTTTTTACTTCAGAAAAAAGGAAAAGGTCCCTACTCTTTGCTTCTTTATTTCCTAGATTTAATCCAATATTAATGAAAATTTATATTCTTGTATCATATAGTTTCACTAATCCAGTATCTGTGGTGTCTAAAGATTATAAGTAGTCATTTTGAAAACTTACCTGGGAGGCTGTTATGATAATTCGTAATTCATTTAACAATATGTGGTATTTTTATTGAGCAATGTGCATAATTTTCGGTAGTCATTTACCAAACGACCTAGAAAAAGTAGATGCCTGGGGGAATTATTTGAAGGCTGTTGACCTTTTGCTTGTATCAAGCTTTTCTAAAGATTTTTTTTTTTTTTTGTTTTTTGTTTTTTTGTTTTTTTTTTAACTCAAAACCATCTGAGAGAATTTATAGAGAGAGATAACAGCAATAACAAATGTCTTTCTTTTTTGATCTTGCATTTATTTATTCATGCTTGAACCAATAACCAATGTCTTTCTTTATTCATGCTTTTATGTTAATGGTTCTGAAGATCTCTCAAGCAAACTATTACCTCTTTCCTTCCTTCAGCTGGTGGACCTGGCTACAATCCATGGTTCGAATTATGTGATGGTCTCTGCGAAAACAAGGCGAGAGTTCTTGTCTGCTATCCAGGAAGCTGTGAAAGCAAAAGTTTTTGATCCTGCAGCACGAAGATTTTATAGTGACCTTGGAAAGACATTGCGTCAAATCTGGGGTGAGATATCCTTGCATGCTTGAAATGCGGTTGATGTCTATCTTGTACTTGAATTGTATGCAGGTTGTAACATAATAATGTTTGTGTAGTGACTGCATCAATTGACTCAGAAATGAATGACGTTAGAATTCCAAATTAGTCTTATGAAGCTTCCTAAAATTTGCTTTTTCTTGAATGGCTATAAACATTGAGAAAGTGACCGATATCTATTATTCTGCAATTGATTCTTACTTGTCTGATGATAAAAGTGTTGGAATATAGAACCAACGCCTCTCATGTCAAAAAGGTGGTAAAAAAAGGTCTCATATCTCATATCTTCTGTTTCTGAAGGAAATGGGTGCACCTAGTTAGCTTAAGGGAGCACATTGTTGATATGAAGCTGGGGGTATGCTGATATTATGATGTCCATGCATGATCTCCAGTTAAGTTTATGTACAAGCCAAAAAGGAAATTCTGTCTGTTTTGTCTCTAATGTTGTCTTGCAATATGCTAAAGTGGAGTTTCAGTTGTAGTTGTAAGAAGATTGAAGGTGTAATTTGAAAGTTGAATAACCATAATTTTGCCTTCCAGTTGTTTTCCTCTTATTTTTCTTTCTCTTCATTTTCCTAGCCCTCATTTCAGGTTCTACATGTTATAATTCTCTTCATAGTTTTGCTTGGCACGATACATGATCTACATTATTCATCTATCTGGCTCTACAAAATCAATCTACAAGTACTGAATATGTTAGAGAGCAAGAATTTCAACTAAGTGCCTGAGAATCTCCAAGCTTGAAATCATTGCCTTGTACAGCAGTTGGCAGGTGACTAAGTGCTAGTTCCATCACAGAAATGGTACCGCACCTGCCCAGTGACTTCAGTCAGCATAAGCATTATTGGTCCATATTTGCACTTTGATGCCATGGAAATGTGGTGTTTGTTATGCCTCTTATGAAGAGGCTCCAAATCATCACTAACGTGGTAGTCATATAAGAAAATCAACAAGGCTTGCGCTCCACGTCACCCCCTTCTTGGTCGAGGTGAGACCATACAAGGTAATTGAGGTGATGTATCATTTTAATTGAGGTGCCATGTCGAGGCTAGCTCTTTATGGCCGAAGTGTCGTATATGTTGCAATCCGGCTCTCCCATTTACAAAAGGCATCTTCCAATTTACATCCTCTCAAGAGATCTTTTGTACAAGATTCATATGTGACTGATTGATGTGACAATTTATTGCAGTGGCACCTTAAGATTAAATTGTCAGTCTACATATTGAAGGCCAGATCTAGGCACGAGGGTGGTCACTTTTCAGAAACATTAAACGCCAGCAACCAAAACATGAAATGGCTTCTCAAATTTTGCAATATGTTTTGGATTGTCAATGCTCAAGAACAACCTACATGTCATTGCAAAAGTACATTGTTTTGCTAGTGGTAAAACAGTGATTTCTCTGTTCAAAACTCAGTTCATTTTGAGATGTTCTCGTGCAATGGAGTTCATAACTCCCACGTGATTCTGCAATGCATTAGGTTATAAAAAAACCTGGCAGGAGGTTACTCATTTTTAGTGATTCTTCTTTGATTGAGGTTTGTAGAGAAGTAGGAAAAATTTTCTACACATTTCTTGGCCACCGTTAAGTTACAAGTTTATTTTCATCAATAATGCTACGTGTACACCATGAGGTGTACACAATGGATTACATCCTCCTCACATGGAGGGCTCACGAATATTTTATTTTGTGTATGTCCTCTCCATGTGAGGGGGTTTAATACTGTGCGTACACCATTATGTACATAAAATATCATTGCATTTTCATTAGAAAATAAGAACTCATTTCCAGCAAATCCACGTAGGATTGTTGTTTTTTCGCCAAGTAATGAAGTTTTGTTGAAAATCTATTCATTCTCTTTACAGATAAACATTTCGGGGTTCCTTTCCTGCCCATCGACAGAAATTCCAGGGTTTCTCCGACGATAAGCCAGCCAATTTTCCATGGAGGAATTTTTGAATAGCCATTGGTGAAAAGTATTTTTTGAGTGAGAGAAAGAAAGATAGTTACTAGAAGAAGAATAGAAAGTAACAAAAGATCAATGTCACTGCATTGATCGATTGATTCTGATACTAATTGTTAGGTCTAAAGGTGTAATTGGAGATTTTGTGGACAAAAAGACTAAATTGTAAATTTGTAAAAGTCAGGGACTCAATTGTACAATGTTATGAAAGTCAGGGACTTAGGGTGCAATTTAGCAAAGCTAGATGGTAGGGACTAGGGTTTGAGTAATTGGTTCAAATCAAGGTCGCGTTGCCGAAAGTTCGCTAGCTGTTCTCCCTGTCACCGCTCAAGTAAGATGAAGCAGAATGGTCGTCGTTCGCTCCTTGCTCGATGTTCACTCGAGCGACGGTGTTATATGGAAAATCGTATTTTTGATATTTGGAAAGTTTGACACGGCCTAGGACTCCTAATTGCCCCCAACTATAATACAAAGGCCATGAACGTGAAAGAGAGATTGTCAGACTGTGCTTTACATAGATATCATCTTCAATATTCTCTCAAGTGATTCAAGGTAGAACTGAGCAAGGAATTCATCCATAAACACCTTGTGATTCGGGCAATCCACTGTTGGGAAAAAACATCACTATTTGCTTCACAAAACACTTGGACTTCTTCATCTGTCGAGGAAGGGACTCTATCATTGGGAGATTGAGAGAGGTGGACGACAAGCGTAGGAACTGGATAAGAACAGGAAGTTCTTGGAATTCCACTTGGTGATACAATCAGCTAGAGACTAGGAGGCTGTATTGGACAGCAAATTGGACTGCAGGAGGTAGATCGGGAAGCTAGCAAGAGACTAGCAGTATCTACGACAGTAGATCGTGAGACTGGAACAACGGGTCTGACTTGGTACGAAGTTTGACATAACTTGTACTGGCTGGATTGTTATAGTGGAAACTAGTTGCTTCGTCCCGGAGTTTTACCCACCACATTGGGGTTTCTTCGTCATCATATTGTGAGTTGGTGTTGTTACTGTTTTATTTACTTTACGCAAACTGACAATTCAACATAGACTTAATTGGACGTATATGTTTAATCACCTAGACAACAATTAATCTGTGACTTGTTACAATTAATTGTATTAAGTTTGCACGTAAGGTCAAACGGTAAATTGGAACATAAATTTGATAACGCTAAATTTTGAATTGGACATAGTAAAACATTCCTGTGAATTTCTAAGTGGTTGTAGAAAGTTCCTTGAACTTTCAAGTGGTATCAGAGCCTAAGTGCGAATCGTGACCTTACATTAGTCTAGATGAGTATGTCGTTGAATGTGCCACCCCACTTTGATGGGAACAATTATGCTTGTTGGAAGGTGAGAATGAGGGCGTTTTTGAAATCCTTAGATGAGTGTGTTTGGCAGATTGTGGTAAATGGTTGGTCAGCCCCTAGTACCACAATAGATGGTGTAGTCTCTCCCGTCCTTGTTGAGAACTGGTTTAGAGCTCAATTGGATAGCTGTAATTTAAATAGCAAAGCCCTCCATTCCCTATTTATGGCAATTTCCCTCGAGGAGTTTAGGAGAGTGTCCATATGTGAGGTAGCAAAGGAAGTTTTGGATATTTTAGAAACCACACATAAGGGAACTTAGACAGTTAAGAGTTCTAAGTTGCAGATGTTGGCCACTAGGTTTGAAGAGATAAGAATGAGAGACGATGAGATGTTTGATATCTTTTATGCGAGCTTAAATGACATAGTAAATTCGTCCTTCAACCTAGGTGAGAAAATCCCTGAGCCTAAGATAGTGAGAAAGATTCTTAGATCCTTACCTGAGCGTTTTAGGCCTAAAGTCACATCAATTGAGGAGAGTAAGGACATAGACACTATCAAGGTAGAGGAGTTAGTTGGATTCCTCCAGACCTATGAATTGACCTTAGACAATCCAGCTAAGGAAAAATTCATAGCCTTAAAAATCGCTAGGAATATCCGGATGGAATCTTCTGATTCTGATTCACCCAATGATGAGGAGATGGCCTACTTAACTAAAAAATTTCAAAAAATGTTTAGGAATAAGAAGAAGCCTCAAGAAAGACAAAGAGGTGGCCCGAGTGAATCTAGGAAGAAATCTAAATTCGTGAGAAGCCATGAAGCCATAACTATCGCAGTTTCGGTCATGTGAGGAATGAGTGCCCTAGTGCCAAGAGATTTGAAGAGAAGGCTATGAATACTACTCTCACTGATGACGAGTCTAACTTGAAAAATCAGAGTGAGAAATCCACCCGTGAGGAGAGTGAAAAATATGTGGTCTTCGTTGTTAAGAGTAAAAGTTGATCCAATCAGTGGAGTGAAAGGACAGAGGACTTAGATAGTAGTGAGAATTCTGGTGATGAAAGTGGAAGTGCGGAAGATCTAGAAACAGCCTGTGAAAGGATGTATGAGGAAAGCCTCAAGATCTTAGCCACTAACCAGGCAATGAGCAAGAAAGTGAAAGAGCTTAAGATAGAGAAGGACCAATTAGAGGCCCGTGTTAGTGATCTCACCAGTAAGAATGAGATGTCCTTTAGGAGAGTAAGTGAGCTGACCATTGTGAATGAGACCTTAGCTATTCAGGTTAAACACCTTGAGAGTGAGCTAGAGTTGTCTAGGTCTCAGTTACTTGTTTTTTCTAACAATTCTGAAAGGCTAGATAATATTTTAGGAATAGGCAAGCCGGCTGGTGATAAAGAAGGTCTAGATTTTGATCTGAATGTTGCCAGTACATCATAGACCATCTTTGTTCGTGCTACTGACTAGCCAAACATTGTGACTAACCCCATACCAAATGTTGTGGGAACTTCAGGACGTAGGTCTATCAGACGTCGTAGGACCCGTCGGCCTAGGAATAGAAATCAGCGTAAGCATATCACAATTCCTAAGTTTATCCCTACATGTCTTCACTGTGGAGAGTTAGGTTACATCCGCCCTAAGTGTCATCACTACCTGAACAATAGGAAAGACTTGAGCTTGAAAAAGAACAAAAACCAGGTGTCTGTTGGTCAAATTGGATTCCTTACTGATCAAGTGAAACGTTTGACTTAATTGGTGACACAGCTGTCTGGAAACAATCCTTTCTCTAGACAGGTTTGGGTGAAGAAAAGCGATCTTCCAAATTTGGTTAGAGATCGTGGTGCTCTTAAAGGAAAGAACATTTATATACCTACTTGATTAGGTATTTTTGATGCATGCTTGGCTCTTAATTGACATATAGTTGGTGCATGCATCACATGTATATTGTTTGTATTTGTTTTGTTATTTTTCATGCACGTGCATTGTTACCTACGAGTTTTGGTGCATGCATGTTTATTTTTGTCTTTGTGTGCTTGACTTTATTTTATTTTGTGTGTGGAGCATTCATTTTAGAAAAAATGAAAAGCACAAAAACATTGAAAAATTGAAAAAAACAAAAATAGTTGGTTATGAAAATTTTTACAGCATGACACATGACTTAGAGCTTGCACGTTGTATCATGTAGGAGCTAAAATTGATAAGTTGTAGAATAATTTCCGTTGCTTGGTTATGTCTAGTTGGATTAATATCTATAAGTGTCTTCATATACCATCTGCACTATAC